CAGACCAATGAACGCACCTACCAAAACACCAACAAACAGCACCAACACCCCCACCTTATCCACAATCGCCCCCGTGTGCTTCTCCAGCAGCTGTGCCTCCGTGGTGGCGATAAGCGCCTTGCGAGTGCATGCACGCAAGGGTACCTACATACACAGTACCCTGTCAGCCGCCCACCCACCTTATCCACAATCGCCCCCGTGTGCTTCTCCAGCAGCTGTGCCTCCGTGGTGGCGATGAGCGCCTTGCGCGTGCTGCTAGGCAGGTAGTGCACACACCGGTCGTTCTCCTCCTGCAGTCGGGTCTGGGAGAGGGCACAGGGGTAGTCAATTGCTCCGGGCTCCCCTCTAGGGACAAATCATCCGCAGCCTGACAAGTGCTCCTTGGTCCACTCAAAACTCAAGGCTCGCTCAAAGCTGAATGCCCAAATGCCCAAGCCCAACCCCCAGAGCTCAACACCCACCTCCATGAGTTTGAGGTAGTCGCGCACGTCGGTCTGCTGCATGAACCGGCTGCCTTCAGAGCTCTAGAACTCCGCTGTCTCCTCCCAGAAACTGCCTCTCGAAGCTGCTGCTGTACACAAATCACGTCGCCAACACCCACAGCTCAACACTCACATCACCCAACACTCACCTCCACGAGTTTGAGGTAATCACGGACGTCTGTCTGCTGCATGAACCGGCTGCCCTCAGAACTATAAAACTCTGCAGTTTCCTCCAGGAATTGCCTCTCAAAGCTGCTGCTGTACACACCCAGCGCCGAGAACATCCCCACCAGGTTCTTCAAGAGCGATCGATCCACTGTGTCGCCAGACCTGCACAAGGAAGGGAAGAGGTAATCCCGGTAAAGAAGGGAGGAAGGAGGAAGCGGTGGGTGTTCAGCGCAAAGCTGCTGCTGTACACTCCCAGCGCTGAGAACATTCCCACCAGGTTCTTCAGCAGCGATCGACTTTTGAGACGTCTCAAAAGTCATTCCCACCAGGTTCTTCAAGAGGGATCGATCCACCGTGTCGCCAGACCTGCACAAGGAGGGAGGACGTGAGTAAGTTCCGTGAGGAAGGGAGGAAAAGGGGCTGGGGTAATGTGCAGCTCGAAGCTGCTGCTGTACACACCCAGCGCCGACAACATGCCCCACGAGGTTCTTCAAGAGCGAGCGGTCAACTGTGTCGCCAGGCACCACCTCCAGGCGCTCTCTCAGGCACCCCCTCCATGTGCGAGCGACTCCCTCCTCTCCAACAGCCTCAGCCCCATGCCCCACAGCCACTCCTTCCCCTCCCTCGACGCTCGTTTGAGGCTCCGTAAACCAACAACGGGAGAGGGGAGAGAGGGGGGAAGCAGCAACCACACGGAATCCACCTTTCCCTTTCGATCAGCAACAGCATCCCCGTGACTGTCCGCCTCTCCACCTCAGGCGCCCCCTCCAGGTGCGAGCGGAACAGCCTCAGCCCCATGTCCCACAGCGACTGCACGCCCACCCCTCCTCTCCTTCGACCCCGATTGAGTTGAGACGCCTCAAAAGCAACAAGCACCCACCTTTCGCGTTCTATAAGCTGCAGCAGCCCCGTGACTGTCCGCCTCTCCACCTCAGGCACCCCCTCCAGGTGCGAGCGGAAGAGCCTCAGCCCCATGTCCCACAGCGACTGCACGCCCGCCCCTCCTTTGACCCCGATTGAGTTGAGACGCCTCAAAACAAGAACGAGGAGGGGGGAGGGGAGGAAGCAGCAAGCACACGGCACCCACCTTTCCCTCTCAATGAGCTGCAGCAGCCCCGTGACTGTCCGCCTTTCAACCTCAGGCACCCCCTCCAGGTGCGAGCGGAACAGCCTCAGCCCCATGTCCCACAGCGACTGCACGCCCGCGCCCGACGCCTGCATTGCGAACGTACGGTCCAGATACAGCGCGATCGACCGGATCATGAGCATCTGCTCGCAGAAATCGCGCCACGTGGCAGCCACGTGCTCCAGGAAGAGGACTGGGTCGGGGGAGCCCTGGGCGAGGAGGAGTTGGAGCTTGGCGGCTATGTGGCGGTCGCATTCGGCCTGCAAGCGAGAGTACAGCCCTGCTGCCATCTTGTGTAGACATAGCCCCTCCACTGCCTGCCAAGGGGGGAACAGGCAGGACCGGAAGAAGGAGAAGGGATGGGAGGAAGAGAAGCAGGGAGAGAAGGATCAGCAGGCAAATGGTGAGGAGATGAGCAGGCACGAAGCTCAGGAAGAGGACTGGGTCGGGGGAGCCCTGGGCGAGGAGGAGGTGGAGTTTGGCGGCTATGTGGCGGTCGCATTCGGCCTGCAGGCGAGAGTACAGCCCTGCTGCCATCTTGTGTAGACACAACCCCTCCACTGCCTGCGGGGGGGGGGGAGGAGAAAGGGCGGGACCAGGGAGGAGGAGAAGGGAGGGAAGGACGAGACCTGTTGAAGGCCAAGTTTTGGCGGTTGGGGGCGTCACGGTTGGGAGAATGTCTAAGCACTCCTCTCCAGGTCACTCTATGGGGAGTGGAATCTCACCGTAGCGAAACATTTTGAGGTGCCTACAATATCTTCTGACATATCTCACCCTATTCGCGTGGTGTGTCACCCTTGTAAATTACTTTACGTCTTCACCCGAATCATTTAATACAGTCAACCTAAATACCTGCCCTAATCTTACTCGATACATTTTCCCCGCGTCACCTCCTAATTACTTCACCTCATCACGCCCAGGTGTTTCCTCCCATCTCACCCAACCATCTCCCCATCTCACCCAACCATCTCCCCATCTCACCCGCTTTACCCCACCCCTCCCAACAATTCACCCAGTTACTTCCTCCCATCTCACCCGGTACAGCTCCTCCAAGCTGCACGAAACCGCTCGTTTTTCGTGAATGGCGGTAACCGCCTCCCTCAGCTTCGCCCATGTCGTCTCCTCGTAATCTGGAGGCAGCTGTGGCTTGGCTGGTGGACGGGGATGGGGCCGGGAGGCGAGGAGAGGGAGGGGAAGGACAGAGGGCGGATAGGGAGGAGAGGGAGAAGGACGGGAGAAGGACGAGAACGAGAACGCCTTAAAACGCAAATTCAGTGTGCACATGACTAAAGGCCCACAGTGCAACACGAGAGAAGGAACAACTCAATAGGGACAAGCAGCTCCACAGGGATCACCAATTTAAAGGTGCTGCGGGATGCAGAGCGGTGCATGTCAGCATAAAGCAAGAGAGAAAAGTGTGAAGGCGGTGAGTGAGATAAAGGGGTAAGGGGGAAGGAATAAGGGGTAAGGGGTGGTTGATGAATCTGACAAGGAGAGATAGAAAGGTGGAGAGGTAAAGAGCGGTTAGATGAATCAGGTGATCACAACGAAGACTGAGGAAGACCGAGGGCAATCGCAGACGCGACTGCCAGATTTGACTAAAACGGTGGCATCAGAGGGAGTGGAAAAAAAAGTGAGTGAAAAAAGGGCACCTTTGAAGGCTTTTATGACCAGCTTCCTTCCTTGCTGCGGCCCGCCAGTCGCGTTCTTCTGCGATCCTGACGAATTGCTCTGAGCTCCATTTTTCAATCCGACGGCGCTCGCTCCTCCTCGTGTGCTGCCGTTTCCGCCGACAAATTTCGGAGCTCCGTCGGCTGCTCGTGCGGTATTTCTGGACGGACCTGACGGCGGATCCAGGTCCATGGGTTCGCGAAATCGTTTGCGACGAGTAGCGAGTTACCACTCGGACTAGTCCATTCGCGGATTCTCCACGAGAGTAAATTCTCGCTTTCCTGGCTTTCTACGGGCTTCGGAAGAAGCGATCTGCAACAAATTCGAGACTGCAAGACTAAGACTGAAAAAACAAAGTAATCAAGTGAATTCCACCGGAACCCTAGAATTCAATCTCTAGACTCAACGCGTCAACAACGACAGGATTCTCTGTGCGATTCTTTGAACCTACTCTCCTGAAAGAAGCTACACGATGGACGACGTGTGTAGAGCTCGGTTCCGAATGGCTAATAGCTCGTCAAGTCCAAGCCAAGAAATAGAGCTACGTCAATGACAAACCTACTCTCCTCGGGACAAAAACTTTAACGAGGGGTTAGTAAAAACTCTCTAGAGGCTTAATGTGGATGAATCTCGAGCTGCAGCTTCCTCCTAAATGACGAGTTATGTCGCAGAGCAGTCTTAGAACGAAGGGGATCTGCCACTTGAAGATACCTATGTTGCCTTACAGAATCTTCGATGTGAAACACCCCTCTACGTGAACTCATCCCTGAACAAGTCCCGTTTAGCCACAAGTTCACTTCTGTTACACAACACTTCCGTTTTGTCAGTTCAATCTTAATATTAATGAAACCAGCATCTGTTTACGCATGAAAAACTCTTCAAATATGTTTATAGCCATTCAAAGTCACAAAAATATTGCATTGTTTCATTTTACAGTCTTTTTAATCTTTACAATTACATTTGTTTTCTGGTATCTTCATCTCTAAAGAGCAAAAGGATGTTCATTTGGTTCCTATATAATATAAGCATTTTTTAGACTCTCAATCTGCAGCGAATTTGTTCGTGCAAGCGGCCCCAGTATCGCGAATGCTTCAGCTGTAATCTGACAAACAATGCTCCGCTAACTCCCATTGCTGACCGTCCATCTGCATGAGAACTATTTTAATTGACGGTCAACAATTATTGATAAATCGACGGCTGGTGAAACTGTCAGATTCCAGGGATGAAACTGGACTCGAGAAACTGTGGATGCCTATTTTTGAAATCTCTCAGTTGAGTAAATCAGTAGGTAGCAGCCTCGGATGGATCGCACCACATGATTCATTTCAGCAGCAGCAACACCTTTCACAAAGCTGTAATTTCCTGTTCGCGTTTCGTTGCACTGGCAACGATCCCTCGTGAACAACGACCACAAAGTGGAGCTTGTTCCTCTCCATTTTCTTCGTAGTTGTGAATTCCATCGTCTTCACGTTCTGCGCCTTCTTAGTACACCACGAATTCGCCCCTTTTGTCTGAATAACACTAACGTGGGTTCACGAGCAGTTACGTTCCGAATGACGCTGCCGTCGCCGCGACTAGATGGCATCGCGAACGGCACCCCGCGTCGCGCCAGCCTGGACAGAACCAACCGTCAGATCGTGTATCCGACGGCGGAGGAGCGCTTGGACGAGCTGCGGAAACGGATGGGGAAGGCGGACGGGGATCCGTTGAAGATCGTTGGGGTTGGCGCCGGCGCGTGGGGCTGCGTCTTCACGGCAATGATCCAGGTGTGTGGACATGACTGCGAGAGTGAAGCTTGACTTCAAATAACGTTTGCGGAGACGGATGGGGAAGGGGGACGGGGATCTGGGGTTGGCGCCGGTGCGTGGGGCTGCGTCTTCACGGCAATGATACAGGTGCGTATCCATCCACGGTGTAGTGAGACAATCTTTTAGGCGCCTCGAAATCATTCTCACCGGGGCTGCGTCTTTACGGCAATGATACAGGTGTGTGGACGGTTGTGATCATCGACGGTGTAATCTGGAGAATATGTGTTTGTGAGAGTCACGTCGTAGACGGCCCTGATTAGGTCAATACTAGCGAGATTGAGGGTTGAATCCATGTAACTTCCACGGATCTACACAAGGGTGGAAAGACACTGGCACTGGTAACACCTCTGGACAACCCCCGTTTTCCCCAGTGGTGTAGGGCTCGGGTTGTTATATCCCGTCTCTGTGGCTATAATTCCCACTTGTGGGGAAGGGTGCAAGGGAACGGGGTGGATTCATACAGTGACTTTGAGACCTTAATGTGCACATGTTACTGGTACAGGACCCACATCCTCAAATAGTTTCTCAATGCCGTGATCCATGGCGAAAGTAATTGTTTCATGTGCCGTCTCACCTCGGTACTTGCAGGAGACGTACGGCCAATTCAAGGACAAGATCGATGCGCGAATCTGGCTTTGAGACGTCTCAAAAGTAATCATTCCCTTGTGTGCCGCCTAACTGCGTCCTTGCAGGAAACGTACGGCCAATTCAAGGACAAGATTGATGTGCGAATCTGGCGACGTGGCGGGCGAGCTTTGGACAAGGCGTTCGCACAGAAGTTGTTCAACGTGATCAACGACAGGGAGGACATCCTCCGCCGCTTGATACGCAACTGCGCTTATCTCAAATACGTGGAGGGGCGGCTGGGGGATAGAGTACTACTAGCTGATGAGATCCTGAGGTGATTACTTGCAATTATTCTCCTTTTGCATTGCCAGTAATCATGATGTTTTTCTCTTCTCATGGAAAGTGATATTGTTAGGCTAGCCCGCACCCGAGCGGTCTACCAGGGTAACATAACCCCTCCGGCTCATTCTTGATCTCTTTTTATAGCCCCATTTTTTCTGAAATTCCTTACTCTCCTTAAACCTTCCCCGGACCTTCCCCGGACCTCCTCCCTGCCTGTTTATCACAGGGACGGCTTTTGCGTCAATCTAGCTGACACGCCCCTGTGCCCTCTCAACGTGGTGACCAATCTGCAAGAAGCCATGTGGGGTGCTTTGTGAGGCGCCTCAAGGATTGAACCTTACCCCGAACCTCCTCCCTGGTTTTTTTCTAACACAGGGACGGTTTCTGTGTCAACCTAGCCGACATGCCCCTGTGCCCTCTCAACACAGTAACCAATCTGCAAGAAGCTGTGTGGGATGCTGACGTCATCATCAACGGCCTACCGTCCACCGAGACCAGATCCGTTTTCCGCCAGATCGGGCTGTTCTGGCGGGAGAGACGGCGGCCGCCAGCTGTCATCGTGTCATTGGCCAAGGGCGTGGAGGCTGCTATGGAGCCTGAGCCGCATATCGTGACACCGACGCTCATGATTCACCAAGAGAGTAAGTCTTGTTTGAAGCACCTTGAAAATAACGCGAGTGTGAAAATAGGAACATTATTAATTATGTTGTTGGGGAAGAAAGGAGCGAGTGGTTGGTGATCGAGCGAGAGAGTGACTGGTAAAACAATGGTATACTTGAAGGTTTTTATACTGTAAGTGGACTTTGCCATTAGCGAGTGCACATTGATTTACTGTTCCCTTCCCATCCCCTCTTCGGCCTTCTGTTCCCCCATTTCCCTAATCCCCAGCCGGCGTCCCTATGGAGAACATACTGTACCTCGGAGGCCCTAATATCGCAGCCGAGATTTACAATAAAGAGTACGCCAACGCGCGCCTGTGTGGCGCCGCCACGTGGCGCGTTCCCATGGCAGCATTCCTCCGCCAGCGCAACTTCGCAGTATGGGACAACAGCGACCTAGTCACCCACGAGGTTATGGGTGGTCTCAAGAATGTCTACGCGATCGGAGCGGGGATTGTAGCCGGGTCGACTCGGGACAGCGCGACGTCTAAATCGGTGTATTTCGCGCATAGCACGAGCGAAATGATCTTCGTTACACACTTGCTAACAAAAGAGCCAGAGCGGCTCGCCGGGCCGCTATTGGCGGACACGTATGTGACTCTATTGAAGGGGCGGAACGCGTGGTATGGGCAGCAGCTTGCGGAGGGAAAGCTGACGGCTGAGATGGGCGATATGGTGGAAGGCAAGGGGCTGATTCAGGTGAGACTGGTAGGAAGAGAAGTAGTGAGAAGTACCCTGGTCAGAAGTAGCCTTGTGGCGCCCATCCAGCTCTGTCCCATTCCGCCTTCTCGCTGCTGACACTGACGCTCATTCTGCCCCCGTTGTCCCCCCTGCTTTTTCTTCACCCCCCCTTCCTCCAGGGGGTGTCAGCAGTGGCAGCGTTTTACACGGTGCTGAGTGAACCAGCTTACAAGGTGCCTCACCCAGTAACCAACGACCTTGTGGCGCCCATCGAGCTCTGCCCCATCCTGCAGACGCTCTACCACATCCTGCACGTGCGGTGAGTGTTGAGGCGTGCTCCCAAGGCATGCTCCCAAGCACTCGACTTTTGAGACGTCCCATAGCTCTGCCCCATCCCATCCTGCAGACGCTCTACCACATCCTGCACGTGCGGTGAGTGATGGATCTTGAGGCATGCTCCTGGACACGCCAAGGGACGAGAACATGTACGACCTGGCATAGCGCATACCAACGCCTTCCCCTGTCCCTGTCCCCCCCCCCCCCGCCCCATCCCCTCCTCTCTCCCAGTGACCTACCATGTGAAGCCATCCTGGACACGCTAAGGGACGAGAACATGTACGACCCGGCACAGCGCATAGCTTCTGCTCCGGAGCGGTTCTATGTGTCCAAGCTGCTGGATCAGCACCCCAGCAGCAACGACTTGAGTGACGCTGCTCCCGATGCGGTGAATGCACTAAGATTGTGAATACCAGAGTTAGCAGTCTAGGAAATATTGCTCTGGAGAGTGAATCAGGTTAGGGCATTGTATGCCAGCCAGCACAGCGCATAGCTTCTGCTCCGGAGCGGTGCTATGTGTCCAAACTGCTGGACCAACACCCCAGCAGCAACGACTTGAGTGACGCTGCTGCCGACTCTGTGAATGCACTGCGATTGTAAATACCAGAGTCGACAGTTTAGGAACTCGTCCTGTGCCAGTTCTGTAGCCCAGATCAGTGCATGTATACTTTATGCTCCTGGACCAGGGGTGTCGCAAGGCAACCCAGCAGCAGCAGCAGCAGCAGCAGCAGCAGCAGCATGAAATCAACGCACAAACCCATGGTGATTGTCTCAATCATTGGCCTTAATAATTCAACAGTGCAAATTCTATGTGTTCAACTACCGGTATGTGTTGAAGAATGTGGATGGCAGTTGGCACGTGTAGATAAATCTATGTGCTAGATTGACAGGCAGCAGCCTGTACTCATATAGACTCCATGTAATATTTCGCAGGAATCTACAGACAGACAGCCTTGATTGGTTCCAATTACGGTATGATTCCAGTTCCACTGGATCTGGTTGGACAGGCAACTCAGATCCAGTGCACCGCAGAGTTGCACAGTCCAGCTAGTGAACTGAAGAAAGAGTTAATTGCTGACTGAGACGGGTTCTGGGTCTCTGCCTTTCACAAGCTTTGAAGAGCGCCGGCCACATTGCGTTTTATTCTCTCCGAAATGTCCACCTGCAAGCCACATGTTACCCACATGTTACCCACATGTTACCCACATGTTACCCACATGTTACACCATAGGTCAGAGTGTAAATTGCCCAAATAGTAGAGTGCGGAACAAGCAGGTAGTAACACACACAGGTGCGACAGGCTGGGATCACAAAATGAGCTTTGAGACGTTGCGAAACTCACACAACCTCCGATCCTGAAACACATCTGGCTGCACCGCAAATGGAGAATGCGATGGACTCGCGTGCAAGCTGCAAATAACTCCCGAAGAGTTCTGCGCAGAACTCACCTTGACGTCGGGAAGGTGGAAGCGCCGCCCGGTGATTGCCTCGTACAGTGCAATGTAGCTGCGGGTGTAAAGAGTGGTGTATAGAGGTGGACATGGGGGAAGAAAGATGACACGGGATAGTTTTTTTGGTGAGGAACAAAAGTAACAGCAAGGCTGGGAAAGTGGCAGCGCCGCCCGGTGATTGCCTCGTACAGTGCAATGTAGCTGCGGGTGTAAAGAGTGGTGTATAGAGGTGGACATGGGGGAGGGAAAGATGACACGGGATAGTTTTTTTGGTGAGGAACAAAAGTAACAGCAAGGCTGGGAAAGTGGCAGCGCCGCCCGGTGATTGCCTCGTACAGTGCAATGTAGCTGCGGGTGGTGGGAGTTGGTAAAGAGGGACATGGGGGAGGGAAAGATGACACGGGATAGTTTTTTTGGTGAGGAACAAAAGTAACAGCAAGGCTGGGAAAGTGGCAGCGCCGCCCGGTGATTGCCTCGTACAGTGCAATGTAGCTGCGGGTGGTGGGAGTTGGTAAAGAGGGACATGGGGGAGGGAAAGATGACACGGGATAGTTTTTTTGGTGAGGAACAAAAGTAACAGCAAGGCTGGGAAAGTGGCAGCGCCGCCCGGTGATTGCCTCGTACAGTGCAATGTAGCTGCGGGTGGTGGGAGTTGGTAAAGAGGGACATGGGGGAGGGAAAGATGACACGGGATAGTTTTTTTGGTGAGGAACAAAAGTAACAGCAAGGCTGGGAAAGTGGCAGCGCCGCCCGGTGATTGCCTCGTACAGTGCAATGTAGCTGCGGGTGGTGGGAGTTGGTAAAGAGGGACATGGGGGAGGGAAAGATGACACGGGATAGTTTTTTTGGTGAGGAACAAAAGTAACAGCAAGGCTGGGAAAGTGGCAGCGCCGCCCGGTGATTGCCTCGTACAGTGCAATGTAGCTGCGGGTGGTGGGAGTTGGTAAAGAGGGACATGGGGGAGGGAAAGATGACACGGGATAGTTTTCCTGGTGAGGAGCAAAAGTAACCTTGACGTCGGGAAGGTGGCAGCGCCGCCCGGTGATTACTTCGTACAGTGCAATGTAGCTGGGGGTGGTGGGGGGTGATATACAGAGGGACATAGGGGAGGAAACAGTTGGGATTTTATTCCCGCAGAAGAACAGAAGTAACTGTGAGGATGGGAAGGTTGAGGCGCTCCAAAGTGATTTGTTGTGGTGGCATACAGAGGGACAAGGGGGAGAATTCATATGGGGGGGGGGAACATCTGACTTCCGTAAATATTTCACAGAACCACATGGCTGGGGTGGCTAGGTGGAAGGGTCACCAACATACCGTATGCAGTGATCTGCAATATGGTGCACTGAGGTGCAGTGGACTGTGCAGTGCAGTGCAGGGAGCACCAAGAAACAACGGGCAGGCGAGCACAAGGAAGGCGGGGGCACCAAGGAACTCACCGCCAGGATAGCTCTGTGATGAGATGAGGGCCCGCTTGAGGTGCCTAAAAGAATGGCATGTTTCAAGGCGCTTCAGAGAACGGTGGGAGCAGCAAGGAACTCACCGCCAGGATAGCTCTGTGATGAGATGAGCGGGCGCTGCAGGGAGAGTCTGCGGGCAGAACAGGGCACAGAGGAAGAAAAGGGAGAAGTATTAGGGAGGAGAAACGGGAAGGAGGCGGGAGGAGGCGAACCAGGGAGGAGGAGGAGGAGGAGGAGGAGGAGGAGGAGGAGGAGGAGGAGGAGGAGGAGGAGGAGGAGGAGGAGGAGGAGGAGGAGGAGGAGGAGGAGGAGGAGGAGGAGGAGGAGGAGGAGGAGGAGGAGGAGGAGGAGGAGGAGGAGGAGGAGGAGGAGGAGGAGGAGGAGGAGGAGGAGGAGGAGGAGGAGGAGGAGGAGGAGGAGGAGGAGGAGGAGGAGGAGGAGGAGGAGGAGGAGGAGGAGGAGGAGGAGGAGGAGGAGGAGGAGGAGGAGGAGGAGGAGGAGGAGGAGGAGGAGGAGGAGGAGGAGGAGGAGGAGGAGGAGGAGGAGGAGGAGGAGGAGGAGGAGGAGGAGGAGGAGGAGGAGGAGGAGGAGGAGGAGGAGGAGGAGGAGGAGGAGGAGGAGGAGGAGGAGGAGGAGGAGGAGGAGGAGGAGGAGGAGGAGGAGGAGGAGGAGGAGGAGGAGGAGGAGGAGGAGGAGGAGGAGGAGGAGGAGGAGGAGGAGGAGGAGGAGGAGGAGGAGGAGGAGGAGGAGGAGGAGGAGGAGGAGGAGGAGGAGGAGGAGGAGGAGGAGGAGGAGGAGGAGGAGGAGGAGGAGGAGGAGGAGGAGGAGGAGGAGGAGGAGGAGGAGGAGGAGGAGGAGGAGGAGGAGGAGGAGGAGGAGGAGGAGGAGGAGGAGGAGGAGGAGGAGGAGGAGGAGGAGGAGGAGGAGGAGGAGGAGGAGGAGGAGGAGGAGGAGGAGGAGGAGGAGGAGGAGGAGGAGGAGGAGGAGGAGGAGGAGGAGGAGGAGGAGGAGGAGGAGGAGGAGGAGGAGGAGGAGGAGGAGGAGGAGGAGGAGGAGGAGGAGGAGGAGGAGGAGGAGGAGGAGGAGGAGGAGGAGGAGGAGGAGGAGGAGGAGGAGGAGGAGGAGGAGGAGGAGGAGGAGGAGGAGGAGGAGGAGGAGGAGGAGGAGGAGGAGGAGGAGGAGGAGGAGGAGGAGGAGGAGGAGGAGGAGGAGGAGGAGGAGGAGGAGGAGGAGGAGGAGGAGGAGGAGGAGGAGGAGGAGGAGGAGGAGGAGGAGGAGGAGGAGGAGGAGGAGGAGGAGGAGGAGGAGGAGGAGGAGGAGGAGGAGGAGGAGGAGGAGGAGGAGGAGGAGGAGGAGGAGGAGGAGGAGGAGGAGGAGGAGGAGGAGGAGGAGGAGGAGGAGGAGGAGGAGGAGGAGGAGGAGGAGGAGGAGGAGGAGGAGGAGGAGGAGGAGGAGGAGAGACATGAGAAAAGAGAAAGCCAAAAAGCACATCAGCCTTCAGTTATGTGTGCAAGCACACTACAAATTGTTCTGGCAGTGCAGTAGCATTGAACTGCCACGAGTATTTTGCCATCAAATGCCATGCCAGCAGTGCTATAGTACCCTGCCATGCCGGCAGTGCTACAGACAGTACCCTTGCATGTTGGCAGCACGACAGCACCCACCTTGTCATTGTACGGGTCGCAGTTTTCCCGGAACCAAAGCCGCAAAAACTCCTGCAGGCAGCACATGAGCGAGAGGGAAGAATCAAAACCAGAGCTTAGGCATTGGGGTCTATAATCGGGTAAGCATCGGAGCCACATCGAAACCAGAGACACATAAGTTCCTTTAAGCAGCACACGGGAAGCTAAAAAAACGTTCTGTGGTGGTTGCGAGGCGTTGTCACGTTGACAAGCATTGAGAGGGGCATTGATGATCAAGGGAGGTTGAGGAGCAATAGGAACTAATTCAGCAACAGGAGCACTTTGCAAGCATCTGAGGAAACAGAGAACGCAGAACAAGTACTAAGCACACACAATCTCTACAGCAAACAGCGGTCACCTTGTCCACATATCCTCACCTTGTCTATATTCTGCGGCTCTAGCCCCTCTTCGTGTCTCTGCTCGTATGTGGATGCAATCCAATAGCGGCTGGAGTCTGGTGTGTGCACCTGAGTGGCAAGAGAGTTAGAAGGGGAAGAGCAGGGGAAGGAAAAGGAGAGACAGGGAGGAAAAGAGGGTTGAATTGCAGCCCCTCTGCTCTGCTCGTATGTGGGTGCGATCCAATAGCGGCTGGAGTCGGGTGTGTGCACCTGGGTGGCATAGCATAACAAAGAGAAATCGGGGAGAAGGGGAAGGGTATAGGGAGAGTAGGAGACGAGTAAGGGAATAGCCAAATGAGAGAAGGCAGGGAGAAAAACAGGGCTGAATTGCAGCCCCTCTGTGTGCCGCTGCTCACACGCGGGCCCAAATTGCCCCGTCCGAGTCCTCATGCTTCATGACTCATGAACCCTCTTGTCGAGTCAAGTCAAGCAAGCAGCCCTCCTCACCTCGTCGATCAGTCGAATACTCCCATCCGAATCTTTCCCAAACTCATACTTGGTATCCACCAGAAAGAGCCCGTGCTCCCCCGCCACCTGCTGTGGGCGGTGGACTGAGGGTCAACACGACCACCTTGGCTCACCCCATCGATCAGTCGAATGTTCCCATCCGAATCCTTCCCAAACTCGCATTTGGTATCCACCAGAATGAGCCCATGCAGCTCGACCACTTGCTGCTCATGCTGTGAGTGCACTCAGAGCCCTCGCAAGCAGACTCCCTCACCTCACCTCATCAATGAGTCGAATGTTCCCGTCCGAGTCCTTCCCAAACTCGTACTTGGTATCCACCAGAATGAGCCTGTGCTGCCCCGCCACCTGCTGCTTACGGTGTGAGCTTCACCCAGGGCAGGGCACTAGCAAGCAGGTATATACCCACCTCATCAATGAGTCGAATGTTTCCATTCGAATCCTTCCCAAACTCGTATTTGGTGTCCACCAGAATCAAACCGTGCTCCCCTGCCACCTGCTGCCCAAACGCGAACAGCTTCAGCGCCAAGTCCCTGGCCGTCCCAAACTCCTCGCAGGTCATGAGCCCTCGAGTGACGATGTCCACAGACCAGGCCAGCTCACCTCATCAATCAGTCGAATGTTGCCACCCGAGTCCTTCCCAAATTCATATTTCGTATCCACCAGAATCAAACCATGCTCCCCCGCCACCTGCTGTCCGAACGCAAACAGCTTCAGCGCCAGATCTCTGGTGGTTTCAAACTCCTCCCGAGTCATGAGCCCGCGGGAAGCGATCTCCTCTGGGGTGACCGGCTCGTCGTGATCCACCGCTTTCGTGGTGGGCGTCAAAATGTTGGCAGCCAGGCGGTCGTTCTTGCGTAGGCCTGGGTGTGTGTGGGGGAGAGGGACATGGACAGATGGAGAAGAATGGAATTTGTACTCTTGAAGGGCTTCGAGAATGGGCTTCAGTAGCACCCCCCTGGTCGTCTCGAACTTCCCCCGAGTCATGAGCCCGTGGGAGACGATCTCCTCTGGGGTGACCGGCTTGTCATGGTCCGCTGCTTTAGTGGTGGGGGTCAGAATGTTCGCTGCCAGGCGGTCATTCTTTCTCAGGCCTGCACAGGAGGGCAAAAGAGCAGGAGATGGGGGGGTGGGGGGGAGGGAGGGACACACAGAGAGCAACTCCTCCCGGGTCATGAGCCCGCGGGAGACGATCTCCTCTGGGGTGACCGGCTCGTCGTGGTCCGCTGCTTTAGTTGTGGGAGTGAGAATATTCTCCGCCAGGTGGTCGTTCTTGCGCAGACCTGCATAGGAAGGAAAAGGAGAGAGAGCAAGGAGTGGAGGGAGGGTAGTGAGGACGACGATCTCCTCTGGGGTGACCGGCTCGTCGTGGTCCGCTGGCTTGGTGGGCTATCCATCTTCACTTCAGGCAGGTCATTTCCATTTTTGAGGCGCCTCAAAAATAGGCTGCCTTGGTGGGCCATCCATCTTCACTTCAGGCAGGTCATTTCCTTGGTGGGCGTGACAATGTCCTTTGATAGACGGTCGTTCTTGCGTAAACCCGGGTGTGGGGTGGGGGGCCAGCAGGGAGAGTAAAAGAGACGGAATGTAAGGAAAGAAAGGGAGAGAAAAGCAGGAATGATTGTTGGCCTTGAGGGCTCGTCGTGGTTTGCTAGCCTGGTGGTGGGCGTCAGTATGGGGGCTGATAGACCAGGGTGGTGGTCTGCTTGTTCTTGCGCAGGCCTGCAGGGAAGGATGAGAAGGAGTGGGAGGAGAGGAGGAGGGTGGGAAGAGGAGGGTGGGAGGAGGAGGGTGGGAGGAGGAGGGTGGGAGGAGGAGGGTGGGAGGAGGAGGGTGGGAGGAGGAGGGTAGGGGGAGGAGGAGGAGGACAGAGGAGCAAGGTACTGGTTTGCATGAGGTCCCGAATCCCCCCTCTCCTCCCCTGTGCTTTCCTCTCCCCTCCTCACGAATCAACAATGGGTCGTGACATGCTGGCGGTGCTTGTTCACACCCTCTATTTCCCCTCTCCTCTTCTAAAATCCACCCATCTTCAGGCAGGTAATTTCCACAGTACGAGAGGGGCCCCATTGTTGTACAAGGTCCACAGCGACGTGCTGGCTGTGCTTTGCAACATCTCAACGCCCCCCTCTCCTCCCCTCTCCTCTCCTCCCTTTCCCTTTCCTGTCCTGCTCTCACCCACCCACCTTCAGGCAACTCGTTTCCACAGTACGACCGCGCCCCATTGCTGTACACGGTCCACAGCGACGTGCTGGTTGTGCTTCCAGACGTCTCAAACCCCCTCTGCTGCACCGTATCCTTACCTGACAATACCAAAACACACTCACCTTCAGGCAGGTCGTTCCCGCAGTAAGACCGATCCCCATTGTTGTACACAGTCCACAGCGACGTGCTGGTTGTGCCCGTGATGTATCCTCGCACTGAGAGGGAGCGGGGGAGCAATATAGGGCGCATGGGAGCAATTTAGGGGCGCAAGGGAGCAATATAGGGGCGCAAGGAGAGGGGGAGATGAGTGAGTGTTGAGTCGACTAAGAAGGCACTCCCTGCACAGTCCACAGCGACGTGCTGGTTGTACCGGTGATGTATCCACGCACTGGGGGTTGAGGGGCAAGGAGGGGAGAGAGGGACAAGGAGGAGAAGAAAGGGGGGTTTGAGTGGAGTGTACAGCTTTTCTTTTGCAGTGCAGCCCCATTGTTGTACACTGTCCACAGCGACGTGCTGGTTGTACCGGTGATGTATCCGCGCACTGGAGGACAGAAAAAGCGGTAAAGGGAGTGGGAGAGAGGTGCGTTGAGTAAGTCTTGAGCTGACAAAAGGAGCGCTCCATTGTTGTACACGGTCCACAGCGACGTGCTGGTTGTCCCCGTGATGTATCCACGGACTGGGGGATAACGGGGTTGGGAGGGATGTGAGAGAGTGTTGAGTTGAGTAAGGCCAGAACTGGAATGGGAGAGAACGACCCTTGGGTGCACACAGAGATGAGCCACGGTGGGAGCAATGGGCCGGAGAGCCATGTCCCTCACAGAAACAACTGGTGTAGATATGTTATTTCTGAGACGTCTCAAAAATTACCTATCTACAAGGAGAGCCATGTCCCTCACAGAAACAACAGGGAGGTAAGAACTGAAAGTCAGTCCAAAGGTCAAACTCACCAACAAACTCCACGGGGAAGACTTTGCATTTCCGAAAGATGGTGACATTGGGATCGGGCGAAGAGAGGAAGGCGTTGGGCACGATGGGTGCTGTCTGCTCGAACCACCACGCGCTCGTCTGATTCAGCACCTGGGGACAGGGGGCAAAGGGGAGGGCGGAGGTGGGAGGTTGGAGTGGGAAGGGGAGAGGGATGAGCGGGAACGGAAGAGGTGGGAGACAAGGGGGGATAGGATTGGGGACAACGGGGACGTCTGCGTCTGCCCTAGCCACCACGCATTCGCCTGTAAAATCACCTGATGAAGGCGAAGAGGTTGCTGAGGTTTAGCCAAGGGTTTAGGTGAAACATGTGGCTGCTGCAGTGCCACTTGGACAGGTTTAGCAAGGATTCAGGGTTTAAGCCAGATACACAGGTAAACTCAACCGAGTGAAAAGAGAGGAGAGAGAGTAAAGACATTTCGGCGAGAATGTCGGTGAGTTATTCCAATGTGGCTTACCTGCCATTTCAAAGGTACGGCTGTGAGAAGGACTTTCTAGTCGCCTCAGATCGAAGTGATATTCAGAAAGTCAGGAGTCAGTTAATGCTACGCACGTTGGAGTGACTTACCTGCCCTTTGAACGGTACGGACGCGAGAATCCGGTCGAACGCGCTTTGACGATCTGTGGTTACCACCACAAGCAGTTCTTCGTCCGTGTTGCTGTTACTGTCGCTACTCGCCGCCGAGCCTGCCGCAGGCTTGGCAGTGTACACGTCCCGGACCTTCCCCTCTTGCTTCGGCCCGACCCCAGGCACGCCCTCGAAATCTGATTGGACGAGGCATCGCGATAAGCTCTCCTCGATCGCGACGAGGATTTCTGGCCGTTGTTTCAGGTCTAGGTCGATCGCTGACCGTACAGTCATGGACGAGGTGTTTCGATTTCCCTGGTTGAAGGACAAGGCGCGTGATTTCCAGGAAGCTGCGTGATGTAGGGGAAGGCGAAATGCGGGGAAGGAGGAAAACGAACGGCTTATGGAGGCACTGCCCCTCGTTTTAAGCACATTGTTAACGGAAACAGGCGACTCTTGCAACGAAAAGCGAGTATACGCGAGGGCGCGGGTGGCCATTGCGCAAAGAGCGGCGCAATGCGCGGTGCAAGAGCTGGATTGCTCTACTGAAATGGGGCAATAGAATATTTTTAGGGGAATTTGGACAATGGCGCTGAGTAAGGGAGCGTATTTGGAGAATGTGTTTCGTCAATCGGAAATAAACTGTAACTGAAACGCATCTCGCACTAATCGTTCTAGGACGGTCGTCGATCACGAAACTAGTTACATCAGTACTTGCGATTGACGAAACACATGGACGGAAATCCGTTTTACTAGTTCTTGGAATAGCGGGTTCAATAACGAGGACGATGACAGGATCAGTGTTCATCATTAGTGTTCCAGCCCAGCCTGACATGGATCATGGATTTTGCCGGGCTGTTTGCCTGAAAGTACTAGGGAAAGTGCAGTAATATGGTGAAGTAGTGGAATAAGAGAACTATAGGACAGGGCGCAGAGTCACTTCAGTGCACGCCTGCTGTCTCCTCCGTGCCGTCGAGTCCCTCTTTAGAACCCGCATACATCCAGAATTAGCTCTGCAAGCGTATAGTACAGCCTGAATTGTAGACTGAACCGAAGTCTGGATCAAGGTCTGAATCGCGGCTTCTATTGAGGAGCAATGGCGCGGCCTGCGGAGATTTTCCCGCCGCTTTTGGACCGTTTGAACGCTCCGCACCCGTCGGTGCAGCGATTTACTGTAGACGCCATCTTCGCGCGATTCAAGGCGCCGAGCACGGCGCCGCAAACCTGCGCGCCCGCGCGCGAGGCGCTGACGGCGTGCCTGACTCATGCCACGTCAGCCGTGGTGGACCAATCCGTAACGGCGCTTTGCGGGCTCGTCCAATCAGGGCACTGCAAGGCGGATGAAGGTTCGTGGTGGTTTCCTAGTGAAAGGCAATAGGTACCTTTCAGTTTGGAAGGTAAATACCCTCTAGATTTAGCATTCTACCTCTACTATCGTTCCACATTGTAATTTGAATCAAGAATTTATCCACTTTTCCATGTACCCTTCCCAACATCATCACCCTCTGTCCTTTACCCCTCTTCCTCCCCTTCCCTCCAACCGCCCTCCCCCTCCCCCTTGTCCTCCCCCTCCCCCTCTCCCCTTTACCCCTGCAAATCCCCCCATTCCGCCCCCCCAGCGCTGGCGCATCTGCTGGCGGCGCTGCCAGCAGTGCGGGGGGAGGTGGTGGGAAGTGTGTGCGCGGGGGTGGTCGGGATGTACGTGGCGTGCGTCAGGGCTGACGTGGCCTGTGCTAAGGGTGACGTGGCGCCTGCAAGTGGTGACACGGATACACGGGAGGGCGGGGATGGGAGGGAGGGGAGTGGGGAGAAGGAGTGGAGGAGAGGACAACAACGGGAGGTGCCGTGGCGATGGACGGGGGGCACACACCCCTTCACACGGGTAAGCGTGTTCGGCAATAAGGCGATTAGTGTTTTGCACAGGAATTATGACCGGCATATATATATATATATTTATATATATATATATATGATGATGATGATGATGATGATGATGATGATGATGATGATGATGATGATGATGATGATGATGATGATGATGATGATGATGATGATGATGATGATGATGATGATGATGATGATGATGATGATGATGATGATGATGATGATGTGGATGATAATCACAAGGTTTGGGGCATCGCTCTCCTTCTGTGGTGAAGCTTCTCTGTGAAGGATGGATTGCTTCCTTCCGCTGCTCCTCGCAGGTTCGTGCGCTGTAAAGCTGTAAACAAGAACGCCAGCCCCGAGCATGCCCTCTTTGAGATGTCTCACATCTCGATTCATGTGCTGTGCTGCTGCGTGCTCTTTCCTTGCCCCTTTTGTTTGTGATTACTCATGTGCTATGCCTGTGTGTGTGCATCCATGCATGATGACGTGGCAAGCAGCTATTGGAGACACGAGACGAGGCGCATCTGCCTCTGCTCCACCACCTCACCCTCCTCCTCATCTCCCCTCCTCCTCTCTCCACCACCCCCACCACCACCACCAAGTCAAACCGCACTACTAGCAATACCAGCAGCATTACCACGATAACCACCAGCAGTGGCAGCAGCGGCGGCAGTAGCAACAGCAGCAGCAACGACAGGTTTCTTCTTTTCTCCTCCCTCCTCCCTTTCCTCTGCCGAGCCCTCCTCCCCGCCCCCTCCCCGCCCTCCCGCCTCCGCTTCAAGGCCGCCCTCCACACGCGATTGGTCCACGTGGCTGCCACGTCAGCAGACCTGTTCCAGCCAATCACGGCGCTGCTGGTGTCGCTGCTTCCATGGCACATGCTGTCGTCAGCAGTGGTGAGTGGCGGTGTGAGTGGGAGGACGAGGGCGAATTCGCAGTGAGAGTGTGCAGTGATGTGGTGGCGCGTCATTTTTGGGTGCCATTGTTGGGTCTTGCTGCCTCTCTACCACACGCCAATCCCGTGTGTCTCTTGAAGAAAACAACATTTAGTTTTGCCTTCTCGCTTGCTGTGCTTGTTGTGGCACTGCGTGGGTGCTTGCTTGTGTGTGCGTGCGTGCGTGCGCGTGTGTGTGTGTGTGTGTGTGTGTGTGTGTGTGTGTGTGCGTGCGTGCGTGCGTGCATGTGCGTGTGTTTGTGCGCACGCGTGTGTGTGTGTTTGTATGTGTGTGTGCACATGTCCATCTCCCACACACCAGGATCGAGAGTCAATGCTGGCATGCTTGGGCGAGCTCATGGATCTGGCCTATGCCACGTCATCATCCACTGAATCCCAACAAACCCAACACCAGATCCCCCAAAGCAACCAACCACACCAATCCCACCACAGCCACCATCCACACTCGCTCCCCTCCCTCGCCACCCGCCTCTCCGCCTGTGCTCTCGCGCTCTCCCTCGAGCTCCAAGCCGCAGGCACCACCACCGCTGCTGGTGCGTCTTCTGCTGCTGCTGCTGCGGCTCCCAGTGCTGCTGCCTCTGCTGCTGCGGGGCTGCCCTCTTGCCTCTTCCTCGTTCAAAAGGCCTCTCTGCTGCGAGCGCGGATTGACTGTCAGAGAGAGGAGGGAGAGAGTGAAAAGGAGGATGTGGGGAGAAGAGAAGGGGAAGATTCCAGCATGGGTGTGGGACAGCTGGGAGGCGTCGTAGGAATGAGAAGGATGGGAAGAGAAAGTTGGGAGTCGGAGGAAGCGGAGCAGCAGAGGGGTGGGGAAGGGGATGCAGTAGAGGTGGTGGGGTTGCTGCGCCTGCTGCTCTGCGGGCTACCAGCAGACGAAGACCACATCGCTGTGCTCGCAGTGCTACAGCAGACCCTCTCCAAGCTGAATCGTGAAGCCGCCTCGTCTGGGCACAAAGGCACACGTGGCAGTGCTTTTGAGTCGACTCAAATGCAGCAGACCCTTTCCAAGCTGAATCGTGAAGCTGCTGAAGCCGCTGAATCGTCTGGGCACAAAGGCACACGTGGTGGTGGCGGTACACAGAGCGCGGCTCCTCTGCTGCTGCAGCCGGCCCTTTCCAAGCTGAATCGTGAAGCTGCTGAAGCCGGTGAAGCCGCCTCGTCTGGGCTCAAATGCACTGGCAGTGGCGGCACACAGAGCGCTGTTCCGCTGCTGCTGCTGCCGCTCCTCCACCTACTTTCCTTCCCGTCACCTGCCCTCAAGCAAGCTGCAGCACGGGCTATCAATGCCTGCCTCGCTGCTACTGCCACTGCCACTGCCACTGCCACTGCCACTGCCACTGCCACTGCCACTGCCACTGCCACTCAGCCTCTCCTCTCCTCGTCCCTGTCGCCCTCTGCTGGATCTGCCAGTAGTAAGCATGCTGCATCAGACCAGCAGCAGCTGTGGCACATGCGGCAGCAGCAGCAGCAGTGGAGACACGCAGACCTCTGGCACACACGTCAGTACGCCCACCTCTTCACCTGCCTCACCTCCTCCCAGCCTCATACATTTTCCTCTCGCTATCCAGTCGCAATCGCCTCGGCCCAACGGCAGCGTGGCACGTGGCACTCGCCGGAAACCTGGGCAAATGAGCCTGTGCCACGTCAGCATGACCTCGCTGGGTCCTCCCCAAGCGCAGACGTGGATGATGAGCTTGCTGACATGGCAAAGTCGCTGGCGCTTTCAGACGGGAGAAGCACGCTGGCAGGAGCACCAGGTGGGGTGCATGGGTGCCACGTGTCAGGCTCTAATAGGTGGCTTCTGGCGCTACAGCAGCAGCTGAATCAGATCCGGAAAGAGACAGTGAGAAAGGCAGGGAGGGAAACATCAGCAGGCAGCGGCATGAGTCAATCTCTGATCCTCTCACTCGCAGCTCTCCTCCTCCCACTCTCCACCCTCCACCCCTCCCCCTCCCTCCGCTCCTCCTCCCTCCTCTCCCTCTCCCGCCTTGCCTCCTGTGAGCCTATCTGGGCTCTCTCCCTGCTGCCAGCTGTCCTCTGGAGTTTGAGCCACGTGGCACAAGGAGTGGTGGGCGGGGAGGGAGAGGTGGGGGGAGAGAGAGGGGTGAAGGAAGGCGGGGGGAGGGGAAGCGGTGACGCGGGCGGCAAGTCTTGTCTTCAAGTGCTCTGCGTCCTGCCGAGCCTTGCGAGGCACTGGCTGGCTGCTGGTCCTGTGGTGCAGGTCCTGACAAAGCTTGCCGGCCAGAAGTCCCGCCCGTACGTAGTTCCATTTCCTCTGCGTTTTTCCTGACAGACCCTGGAGCCCTTGTGTTCTGAGTTTTTTTTTCCTCACTCTGCCACCCTCCCTCCCACTGTCTCTGTTTCCCCTCCCCCTCCACCTCCCCCTCCCCCTGTGGCTCTGCGGCTGTTGCAGCAAGCCTGGGCCATCACGGATCGCATCTTCCCCTCCCTGCAGCCGCTGCTGCTGCCGCTCGTGCTCCTCTTACCCTGTTCCCTCTATTTTCCCTCCCTCCTGCCCCGTCCACTCCCCTCCCTTCAGTCTCCTCGCGTCTGTGGCTCTGCGGCTGCTGCAGCAAGCCTGGGCCATCACCGACCACATCTTCTCTCTCTCTCCCCACCTTTCCCTTTTTCGCTTTCCCCCCTCCAGTCTTCTCGCATCGGTGGCTCTACGGCTCCTCCAACAGGCCTGGGCCATCACCGACCGCATCTTCCCCTCCCTGCAGCCGCTGCTGCTGCCGCCCTCCCTCTCCCTCCCCAAAAGCATAAGAATAACCAACACCAGCAGCACAGCTAGCAGTGATGTGGGGGGAGGAGAGGTGATGGTGCTGGCAGCAGCAGCGAGCATACAGGGAGTGTGCCGCCACGACACGGACCGGGCAGTGCGGCTGGTGCTGTCAGTGCAGGCGGCTATCGAGTCACCAAGCCCTCTTGTTGCTGCCTTGGGTCTCGACGCCCTCGCTGCTCTCTGTGCTGCTGATGCCGTGGGTAAGTCCTTGTTTCAGCACAGAGGGTAGTTCTAGTGAAGGTACATGTGAGGGAGGGGGTTGATCACACGGACCGGGCAGTGTGGTGCGGCTGGTGCTGTCAGCGCAGGCTGCTATCGAGTCACCAAACCCTCTCGTTCCTGCCTTGGGTCTTGACGCCCTTGCTGCTCTCTGCACTGCTGATGCTGTGGGTAAGCCTTTGCTCCATCTAGAGCGAATGTCTGACTTGGTGAAGGTGCATGTGGGGGAGGTGCAGTGCGCCTGATGCTGTCAGTGCAGGCTGCTCTCAAGTCGCCAAGCCCTCTTGTTGCTGCCTTTGGCCTCGACGCGCTTGCTGCTCTCTGTACTGCTGATGCTGTGGGTAAGTCTGTCAGAACTGCAGGGTAGATCTGGTGAAGGTATGAGTAAGATCTGGGGAGGAGGTGCAGTGCAGTGCTGTGCGGCTGGTGTGCTGTCAGTGCATCTGCGGCATCCCACTGGCTCTCAGTGCTATCGAGTCACCTAACCCTCTTGTTGCTGCTTTGGACCTTGGCACGCTTGCTGCTCTCTGTGCTGCCCACGCCATGGGTGGGTCCTTTCAGAGCAGAAGCAGGTCTGGCAAAGTTGCATGTGGTGGAGGGAGGTAGTGTGATGCTGCTGCTGATTCGCCCATCCGCTATTGTGTGGACAGGGAGGAAGTGTGCTGCCTTTGGCCCTGTGCTTCCCGCTTTGCCCCATCCCTACCCGTCACTTCCTCTCCCTGCCCCTCCCGCTTCAACCCATCTCAATCAACAACCACTTCAGATTTCTTTACGGCGTGGAAAGTGGTTTCCCGATCACACCCCTCCCTGCCCGCGCATCCAGAAATACTGAAGCAAATCAGTACCCCCCTTCCCTTCCCCCACCACAGATTTCTTTACGGCGTGGAAAGTGGTTTCCCGATCACACCCCTCCCTGCCCGCGCATCCAATCACGGCCGCCCGCTGGTGCCACCTGCTGCAATCCGCTGCTCTCGACGCCGCGGCCTATCCCGACGCGACACGTGGCATCATGGAGGGCCTGTGGGAAGCTGCCAGGAAAGGGAGGGAGGGGGAGCTGATAGAAGGAGGAGGGGGAGGAGGGGGAGAAGGGAAGAGGGAATGGAGGCAGACTCGTGCTGCTGCGTTTACTGCACTTGCTGCGTTCACGGTACCCCACCCACCACGCACTCTTCCAGCTCCTCTTGATAGGCAGGCACTGTTGAAGCCTCGCTAGGTCATGCCCTGGGTCTGCTAATGAATTCGTTTTTTGTTTGATTTTTTTTTTTTTTTTTTTTTTTTTTTTTCTTTGTCTGTTTTTTCCAAACCTCCGTTCATGCTCCTCCCTCCCTCCCTCCTCGCCTCCCCAGCTGGATGACGTCACAGCCACATGGCCCAGCACCCACCTCGCGCTATCCTTCCTCTCAGAGCTCTGCCCTGCTGCGCGCCAACCCATGCTGCCCCTGCTCTCCCAACAGGTGGATGACGTCACAGCCACATGGCCCTACCCCAGCACCCACCTGGTTCGAGCCTTCCTCTCAGAGCGCTCTCGTTTTGTTCGCCAATCCATGCTGCCCCTGCTCTCCCAACAGGTGGATGACGTCACAGCCACATGGCCCTACCCCAGCACCCACCTGGTTCGAGCCTTCCTCTCAGAGCGCTCTCGTTTTGTTCGCCAATCCATGCTGCCCCTGCTCTCCCAACAGGTGGATGACGTCACAGCCACATGGCCCTACCCCAGCACCCACCTGGTTCGAGCCTTCCTCTCAGAGCGCTCTCGTTTTGTTCGCCAATCCATGCTGCCCCTGCTCTCCCAACAGGTGGATGACGTCACAGCCACATGGCCCTACCCCAGCACCCACCTGGTTCGAGCCTTCCTCTCAGAGCGCTCTCGTTTTGTTCGCCAATCCATGCTGCCCCTGCTCTCCCAACAGGTGGATGACGTCACAGCCACATGGCCCTACCCCAGCACCCACCTGGTTCGAGCCTTCCTCTCAGAGCGCTCTCGTTTTGTTCGCCAATCCATGCTGCCCCTGCTCTCCCAACAGGTGGATGACGTCACAGCCACATGGCCCTACCCCAGCACCCACCTGGTTCGAGCCTTCCTCTCAGAGCGCTCTCGTTTTGTTCGCCAATCCATGCTGCCCCTGCTCTCCCAACAGGTGGATGACGTCACAGCCACATGGCCCTACCCCAGCACCCACCTGGTTCAAGCCTTTCTCTCAGAGCCCTCTGCTGCAGTACGCCAAGCCATGCTCCCCCTGCTTACCAAACTGGCTGACTATCAACACAGGACCCGACCCCGGGGTCGGAGGGCTGTGGTGCTGGGAGGAGGAGAGGGGGCAGAGGGTGACGTGGCGTCTGCTGCCACGTCAGCCGGTGCGCCTGGTGCCGCCACGTGGCGGTCGAACAAGCTCCTGGCGGCGCTGCCCCGGCTGTTGTGTCCAGAGAGCTTCGGCGGCCGCAAGGGAAAAGACGGACTTGGTAAGGTTGATTGCTGAAGCATCAACGTATTCTGTATAGTATACAGATTGAAGGTTGCCCTTTGTCACGCGTTGCCCCCTTCGCCTTCTGCCCATAATCGCTTGTGAACAAATAAAAACCACCTAGCCCTTCCCTCCTTTTCCATCTCCCCCAGATGTGCCTCTTGCCTCCTTGCTTGTATTTTTTAGGCAGCCTCAAGTCTGCATTCTCTCTCTCACCCTCTCTCCCATTTTTCTGATCAACCTCCCCCAGATGTACCTGCTGCCGCCTTGCTGCTGGTGCCGCCACCACCGCCAGAGCCGCTGTCAGGCGCATCTGCTGGCAGTGCCAGGCAGGCGCGGGTAGACCTGGAGAAGGTGGGGACTGGGGTAGGCGTGTGTTGTCGCTGGTGGTAGGGGGGGTCTGTTTTTGAGCCGCATCTGCTGGCAGTGCCAGGCAGGCTCAGGTATACCTGGAGAAGGTGGGGACTGGGGTAGGCGTGTGCTGTCGCTGGTGTGGGATCTCTTTGTGAGAGTTTGGTGCAGAGAATTTGAACCAATCACAGGGCATTTGTGGGGAATTTCCGTTTTAAAGCTTGGTTGGGATTCTCTGTAGGTCGTGCTTCGCTGCTGAGCATTTGTAAGTATGTGCACTGAACACAAAAACTAAATGAGTTTTCCCTCTCTCCCCGCTCTCCTCCCTCCCCCTCTTCATTCATCCCTCCTCCCCAGGCTCTCAAGGAAAGGGATGCGCACTTCCACCGCATCTTCCTGGAAGCTTCTCAGTCTCTCAGCCGCCCGGCCTTCTTCCCGCTGGTGCTCTCCTCTCTCGCCGCCTGGACCCACTTCATGCGCCAATGGTATCGCGCCAGGTGTCGCCTCCTGCACGCCACAGCCTCCGCCTCCCCTGCTGGTGGTGCTGCTACAGCTGCTGCAGCAGTGGGAGGGGGAGCAGCAGGGGGAGGGGGAGCAGGGGGACCTGTTCCCCCAGGCGACGTGCCGGCAGCAGCAGCAAGGGGGCTATGGTCAACAGTAACCCAAGGGTTTGACAGCGGTATTCCAGTGCAGGCAGAGAACAGTGCTCTCGCCCTCGCCGCTCTCTGCCAAGCCTTGCCGCCCGCCCTCCACCCCCTTGTCGCCTCTGCAGCTGATCTGCTCCGTGGGCGGCTCAAAGATGGGGGGACCGGGGGAGGGGGCGGGGGGGAGGCGGGGGAAGGGGAAGAGGAGAGAGGGGGAGGGGGAGGGGGAGGGGGAGGGGGGAGGAGAGGGGGAGTGGGTGGGGAAGGGAGGGGGGTGGGTGGTGCAGGGTGGGTGGCGGTGAGTGGGTGGGCGGATGCTCTAGCACTGGGGGCTGTGGGAGCGTGCCTTCATGCTACGGATGCCCACATGCGCCTCAGGATTGCCATTCTGCTCACCAAGGTAAGCCGTTGTGCTCACTAGAGGTAGCCAATTTACATGTGAGACTCATGCTTGACTGAGACATGCGGTGAGTGGGTGGGCGGATGCTCTAGCGCTGGGGGCTGTGGGAGGGTGCCTTCACGCCACTGACGCCCACATGCGCCTCAGGATTGCCATTCTGCTCACCAGGGTAAGCCAATTTACATGTGAGAATCATGCTTGACTGAGACATGCGGTGAGTGGGTGGGCGGATGCTCTAGCGCTGGGGGCTGTGGGAGGGTGCCTTCATGCCACTGACGCCCACATGCGCCTCAGGATTGCCATTCTGCTCACCAGGGTAAGCCAGTTCACATGTGAGGCTATGCGTGACCGATGGATGCTCTAGCGCTGGGTGAGCAGAATGGCTCTTCTCAGAATACCCTGGTGAGCAGGTAAAGGTCTTACCCTGGTGAGCAGAATGATTTTTCTCTGGCACCCCTCTTACCACTTTCTCTCGTCCCCTAGCCACTTGCTCCCACCTTCCTGCTACTTCCTCACACCCTTCTGCCATTTCCTCTATCATTCCTCCAGCCACTGCCACCTGCATTGGTGCCACTGTGTCCCGCGCCCCAGCCACTGCCACTCGCCCTGCTTCCACTACATCCCATGCTCCAGCCATTGCCGCTCGCCCTGCTGCCACTGCATCCCACGCTCCAGCCACTGCCGCTCGTTCTGCTGCCATTGCATTCCACGCTCCAGCCACTGCCGCTCGCCTTCTGCTGCCATTGCATTCCACGCTCCAGCCACTGCCGCTCGCCCTGCTGCCAGTGCCACAGTGGCTGGGGCGTGGGGTGCAGTGGCAGCAGGGCGAGCGGCAGTGGTTGGAGCGTGGGGTGCAGTGGCAGCAGGGCGAGCGGCAGTGACTGGAGCGTGGGATGCAGTGGCAGAAGGGCGAGCGGTAGTGGCTGGAGCGTGGGGTGCAGTGGCAGCAGGGCGAGCGGCAGTGGCTGGAGCGTGGGGTGCAGTGGCAGCAGGGCGAGCGGCAGTGGCTGGAGCGTGGGATGCAGTGGCAGCAGGGCGAGCGGTAGTGGCTGGAGCGTGGGATGCAGTGGCACCAGTGCAGGTGGTAGTGGCAGGAGGAATGGCAGAGGAAATGGCAGAAGGGTGTGAGGAAGTAACAGGAAGGTGGGAGCAAATTGCTAGGGGACGTGAGAAAGTGGTAAGAGGGGTGCCAGAGGGGTCACCAGAACACCTGACTGGGTCGAGTTTTGAGTCGACTCAGAAGTGCGACTGAGGATAAGGCCTTTACGTGACTGACTACTAAGGGGCTTGATTGATGCACCTCAATCCTTTTTTTACCCCCACCTTACTCCACCCTTTCTGTTCCACACCAAAACTGTTTTTTTTTTTCCCAAAAAACCTTCCTCTCACTCTTCCATCCTCCTGCCCCAGATTCTTAACCAATCAGGAGCTGTCAGCTCGCTCCGCTTCGCAGCTGCTGTCTCCCTCGGGACCATCGCAGCACGCCAAGTGGCACTCTCCCATTCGTCAACCACAGAAGGCACCACCACCAGCACTAGCAGTGGTACCAGTGGCAAGAATGCTGACTCAGCATCAGCAGCAGCAGCAACAGCAGTGCGAACGCTCTGCTCTGTGATTGGTCGGTCCTCCTGCCAGTCTCTCAGGGAGCTGGCGCAGGTTCTGAAGAAGCTTCCTGGGGAGATGGGGCGGGCGGTCACTGTAGCATTGGCAGAGGCAGAGGGGGGAAAGGGGGAGGTTGGAAGGGGGGAGAGCGAGGGAGAAATGGGATTGGATGTGGGAGGAGATGAAGGGGAGGAGTGGGGTTTGGGGGGAGCGTTATTAGGCCTTGCTGTTCTCACCACTTCTTTCACCTCTTCCCCCTCCTCCTCCTCCTCTTCCTCTCCTTCCTCCTCTTCCTCTCCTTCCGCCCCTTCCTCCCCCCACCTCGCCCTCCTTTACTCCTTCGCTTCCCTTCTCTTCCAATGGACCCAAGCCTTTGCCCACTCGCTGACATCAAACCAGAATGTATGTTCCCCAGGCAAACCTTCCTCAGTTGTACCTCCCCCGCTAGTGGACGGATGGGGCGACCCCATCGCCCCACCCACCCCGCCATCTTCTCTGGACTCTCCCTCGGCCAATCATGTGCCGCCACCTGTCCTCGCAGCAGCAGCTGCGCTGGCACTGCCCTTGATAGCAGAGTGTGGGGTGAGGGGGGGGAGAGAGGCCGGGGGAGGGGGAGGGGGAGGGAGAGGAGGAGGGGGAATGCTAGAGAGAGAGGGAATGGGGGGTATACCAGTGGAGGAGGGAGGTGGGGAAGGGTCCTTCTCCAAGCCTTTCAAGTGGTCACAGGATGAACGGATTGAGGAGAAACAGATGACTTTTGAGGCGCCTCAAAGGTACTTTTCGGCACCGTTCAAGTGGTCACAAGATGAACGGATCGAGGAAAAGCAGATGGCAGATTGGACCGACGGACTGAGGAGAACATTTCAAGAAGTAATGCACTTGAAGCGACAGCCACTACTACTCCCCGTACCTCTAGACCAATCCCAAGCAGATTCCCTCTCTCTCCTATCCCTGCCGCAGTTGCCGCTGCCCCAGCTGCCAGCAGGGTCGGTGTTAGATGAAGAGGCGTTGCTGCTGCTGCACGCGCAGCACCAGCAGCAGTACCAGCAGTACCAGCAGCACCTGGGTCAGCACCAACAGCAGCAGCAGCACCACCACCACCAGCAGCCACATTCAGGCTCCGTTCTCTTTCCTCTTGGCGAGAATTTCGCAGCCACTGGCCCCCCCACGAACAGAGACCCTTATGGCGCTTATGCCGAAGCAGACTGTACGGGAGCAGCCAACACCGCACCAGCAGCAGCAGCAGCAGGCACCGGGGCAGCATCTCGCGGCCCTCCCCCGGTGTTCCTCTCTGCAGTGTCACTCTCTCTAGCTGCCATGGTGCATGCCTCCCTGTGCTCTGACGTTGCCTTGCCTCTTGGAGCTATCACTGACGTCCTCTCTCCCCTGCTGGCTGCTGTCAAAGGGGAGAAGGGAACCGGCTCTGCTGCTTCTCCTGCCACTGCTTCTGCTGGTTTTAAAGCTGCTTCTGCTGCTGAACCTGCTGCTTCTGCCGCTGCTGGTTTTGTTACTGATTCTGCACCATCAGCGGGACTGCTACCCAGCAGTGTGAGGGGAGCAGCAGGCATGGCAGTGGCAGCACTGCTAGGGGCGCCTCTGCTTCTCACCCCCCTCCCAGCCCACCGTACACAGCAGCACCCTCCTTCTGCCTCTGCTATCTCTGCTTCCGCTCCTGCTCCTGTTGCTCCTGCCGCTGCCGCTGCCGCTGGTGCTGGTGCTACAACTAATCCTGCTGCTGCCGGCGCTGCTACCACTGTCACAACCAGTGGCGCCAGCTCAGCAGCAGCCAATCAGATCCTGGTGATTGGCCCACTGCTCTTCTCCCCGAGCGACGCGGTCCAATCATCCGTCAGGGACGCTCTGCAGTCATTGGTCGAGGCGTACCGGCGCGACTGCCACGTCAGCGTCAAGCGCCAGGCTGGCTGGGCGCTGGCGCTCTGTGTGGAAGCTTCCCGGAAACTCTCAGGCGAAGGGGACGAGGAGGAGGATGAGGATGAGGAGGAGGAGGGTGGGGGGTGGGGAGGAGTAGCAGGAGGAAGAGGGGGAGGAGGGAGAGGAGGAGGGGGTGCGGGGAGGAGGGGAGGGGGAGAGGAGAAGCAGTGGTTGCTGAATCAATTCCCTGCTGATAATGTGCTGCGGCTGCTGTCATCTTGGCTGCTAGAGAGGAGTCTGCACGTGGGGGCAGGAGCGGGCAGCCTGTGGGTGAGTTCTGTAAGGGGCTTGGTGAGTGTATGGAAAGGCTATGGTGGAATGTGTGTTGGGTCAGTGCCTTGAACCGCAGGCCTTGCCAACAATGTGCTGCGGCTGCTGTCATCTTGGCTGCTAGAGAGGAGTCTGCACGTGGGGGCAGGAGCGGGCAGCCTGTGGGTGAGTATGTGGATGGAAGGACTATGGGGGGTTGAATGTTGTCATCTAATCATGTGCTGCTGACAGTGTGGTGCGGCTGCTGTCACCTTGGCTGCTATAGACAAGTCTGCACGTGGGGGCAGGAGCGGGCAGCCTGTGGGTGAGTGTGTGAGGGCTGTGAGTGGGTGACTGAGTGCACGTGGTGACTTTTGAGTCGACTCAAAAGCCACCTCAAAAGTCGAGTCGACTCAAAAGTCAGCCTGTGGGTGAGTGTGTGAGGGCTGTGAGTGACTGACTGAGTGCACACATGGGGAATAGAGGGAGAGTGTGAGGGAGTGAGAAGTGTATGCACACAATAACTGTATGCACACAATAAATGTATGCACACAATAAATGTATGCACACAATAAAGTGTATGCACACATCAAAGTGTATGCACACATCAAAGTGTATGCACACATCAAAGTGTATGCACACATCAAAGTGTATGCACACATCAAAGTGTATGCACACATTAAAGTAAGTAATACCACGATCCCCCTCTCCTCTCCTCTCCGCCCTCCTCATCCCTTCCCTCTCCTTCCCCATTCCTCTCCTTCCTCACCTTCTCCTCCTCAACACACAGGACACTGCCAGCGTGCCAGCTGTCACGTCCTCATTGGCCCTCCTCGCCCACGCCCCTCGAATCCCCTCCCTGGACTGGCCCTCCATCCTTCACCGCTTCATCCGCCGGGTCTCTGTGACCCCCCCCGCCTCCCATGCTGCTCTGCTGCTGTTCCCTCCCTCCACTGCTGCTTCAGCAGCGGCAGCAGGGCCACTGGGAGGAGGGTCTGTAGAGGCATCAGTAGCAGGAGGGATTTCAGCAGCAGCAGGAGCAGCAGCAGATGCAGACAAACTACGCTGTGCGTGCCTCCACTTCGCCGCCCACCGCGGGATCGTCCCCTTCCTCGATGACCTCACCGCTGACGTCAGCAGGCTCGTCCAGCTGGCGCCGGCGGTGCAGCGAGCGCTGCTGTCGCGACACCTGGCGGCCGTGGTGGGGCTGTTTTCCCAGGAAAGATCTCGGAAGCTTCTGAGAGACGTGATGGGGCTGGTGAGGACGTATATGGCTGCTGCTTCTGGTGCCGCTGCTGCTGCTGCTGCTGCTTCTGCTGCTGCTGCTGCCACTGCTGCTACTGCTGCTGCCGCTGCTGCTACCAGCAGTGCTCATGCCGCCACTGCTGCTTCTGCTACTGGTGCTGTTACTGTTGCTGCTGCTGCTGCTGTTGTTTCTGGTGCTGCTGGTGCTGCTGATGGTTCAGAGGAAGGGCAAGGAGAGGCCACTTCTGAGTGGTTCCGGAAAAAGCCGACGCCACTAACAGCAGCAGCAGCCGCACCTGTTTTAGAAGCACCAGCAGCCAACGCAAAAGCAAAAGAAGCGGCGGCAGCAGTGGGTGCAGGGGAGGCTGCAGCAGCAGCTGCTGCTGTGAGGGTCTGGGCTTGGATGGGACTAAGGGACATTCTATCCATTTCTTGCTCTCAAGACAAACCAGAGAAGGCAGCGGAAGAAACACAGGCCTCAGCGGGACATTCTAGGGCTCATGCGTCGGTATCATGGAGGCGTGATGCTGATAGTGCTGCTGCTGGTGCTGCTGCTGATGCTGCTGGTAGTGGTGGTGGTGGCAGAAGTGGGGGTGGTGGGGATTCATATTCCAGTAACAGCATTGGGGTGCAGTTTGGGGGTGGGATGGTGGAGGCAATGGCGTGGGCGTGTGTGAGCGAGCTCCTGAGATCCCTCCCCCTGCCACGCCCCATGCGGATATCCCCAAGTCAAGGCCAAAGTCAAAATCAAGGTCAAGTACCTATCTTGAGGGAGGATTCGAGGGAGGCTGTGCGGGCGAGCAGCCAATGGGAGGGCGACAGCTGGCCGCTGGACGAGAGTCCCGAGTGGCGGGCGGCGGTGGAGTGCCTTGGAGTGATGCGGAGAGAAGACGTTTTGGGGATGGTCAAGATTCCCACACCATCAGCATCAGCAGCAACACCACCATCAGCAGCAGCAGCATCACCTGCCCCTTCCGCCTCCCCCAGTACCCACCTCCCCCGCCTCCCATTCTCCCCAGCAGCAGTCCGCGCAGTCGCCATGCGGCTCCACCTCCTGCGAATCAACCCGCGACACCTGTCCCTTGCTGACGTGGCGCTGTGCCGCGTGTTTCTCTGCGAGCACCCGCTGCCAGGTCAGCTCGGGATGATGACTTGGCGTGAAAGCAGGGAACCCTCCTCGTTTGAACGATGTGGGGAGAAGATTGGAAATATGCATGCAGCATAGCAGGGACATGCAGCAAATCTCTTCCCCATAAACACATTTCCCTGACGTCCCCCCTGTCTATCTCTTCCCTCTCTTTCCCCTTCTACCCACTCCAATCCTTTTGAGGCGCCTCAAAAGTCCCCCCTGTCTATCTCTTCCCTCTCTTTCCCCTTCCACCCACTCCAATCCTTCACCAGCAACCTACACATGGCTACTGGTGGAGCTAGCGAGTGCCGTGGCAGCAGCACTCCCGATCTACATGTATGACAATATCTGAATGTCCCCACCACACATATCCCTCCCCTCTTCCTCGCTTTCTCCCTCTCCCCCTCGCAGCAACCTACACGTGGCTACTGGTGGAGCTAGCGAGTGCCGTGGCAGCAGCACCAGAGGAGCATCGCCTGCCCTTCCTCCTCGACACACTCGACTCCATCCAAGTCGCTCGCCACCCCTGGACGGTACGTTGATCATCACACTCAGGGAACACAGGGTTCACATGAGCAGCACCGGAGGAGCATCGCCTGCCCTTCCTCCTCGACACACTCGACTCCATCCAAGTCGCTCGCCACCCCTGGACGGTACGCTGCTTGCTTAGATACGCTCAGGGGCCTCACAACAGTTTTGCGGCGCCTTGAGCCTCCACCAACAGGTTACAGGTAGACACAAGGGTTTGCGGCTCTGGTGAGAATGAAGGGTTCACATGAGCAGCACCAGAGGAGCATCGCCTCCCCTTCCTCCTCGACACACTCGATTCCATCCAAGTCGCTCGACACCCCTGGACGGTATGCTGCTCACACACAGAGAACAAATAACAGGATGTTCCCCCGGACAGTATGCTACTCCCTGCCTACTAGGCTGCTACCCCCTGCATGCTGCGTTGCTCAAACGCAATCAGGGGCCTCATTCGGAGCATTTTTTAGGTACCTCAGAGCACCAGCAGGCTCGAACCTCCCTTTTGAGGCGCCTCAAAAGAGCACCAGCAGGCTCGAACCTCCCTTTTGAGGCGCCTCAAAAGAGCACCAGCAGGCTCGAACCTCCCTTTTGAGGCGCCTCAAAAGAGCACCAGCAGGCTCGAACCTCCCTTTTGAGGCGCCTCAAAAGAGCACCAGCAGGCTCGAACCTCCCTTTTGAGGCGCCTCAAAAGAGCACCAGCAGGTCCCTTTTGAGGCGCCTCAAAAGAGCACCAGCAGGCTCGAACCTCCCTTTGTCTGGTGAGAATGAAGGGTTCACATGAGCAGCACCGGAGGCCCATCGTCTGCCGTCCTCTCCCCCGCCCGCCTGCTCCTCATCCCCACCAGCCACTCTGCTTCTATGTCCTTAGCTTCCCCTTCTTCCTCTCCGTTCCCCCCTTCCTGTTCTGCTTTTACTCCCCTTCAAGCAGGCTCTGCAGCTCTTGTCTCTCATGCTCGCACGCCTCTCCCCCGACCGCCTTCTCCTCCCCACCAGCCATTTCTCTGCTTCTGTGTCATTACTGTTCCCATCTTCCCGCCCCTTTCCCCCCTCCCCCATCGCCCTCCCTAAGCAGGCTCTGCAGCTCTTTTCTCTCATGCTCGCGCGCCTCTCCCCCGACCGCCTGCTCCTCCCCACCAGCCATCCCTCTGCCTCCATGTCGTCACCTTCCCCTCATCTCTGTCCCCTCCTGTCCCACCCTCCCCCTTCGCCCCTCCCTCCCAAGCAGGCTCTTCAGCTCTTTGCACTCATGCTCGCCCGCCTCTCCCCCGACCGTCTGCTCCTCCCCACCAGCCCCACGGCAGCAGTCTTCCTCCTGCCGCACACCCTCCCTCCTCTCCTCTCCCAGCGTGGCCTAGCCGGCACTGTGGGAGCCATAGTTTCTCGCTTCCAGTCGCTGCTGTCGTGGCTGTCAGATGAGAAGGAGTGCCTGTTCTGGGAAGATGGGGTTGATCCGAGCCATGGTAGTAGTAGCAATCAGCGGGTGCAGGTGCTGAGGGGAGTGGTGGTGGATGTGTTGAGGTCTCTGCGCCACCATCTGCCCTCCCATGCCGTGTCCAGTATCTGTCTCGCCAACGTTGCTTTTCAAAGAGCGTGAGGCTCTGTGGGAGCCATAGTCTCGCGATTCCAGTCGCTGCTGTCGTGGCTGTCAGATGAGAAGGAGTGCCTGTTCTGGGAAGATGAAACTGGTCCAAAACGTGGTGGCAGCAGCAGTGGCGGTACCAGTGGCGGAAGCAATGAGCGGGTGCGGGTGCTGAGGGGAGTGGTGGTGGATGTGTTGAGGGCTCTGCGCCACCATTTGCCCTCACATGCTGTTTCCAGTATCTGTCTCGCCAATGTCTTGTCGCAAAGAGATAGAGGCTCCGTAGGAGCAGCCATAAGGACAACAAGCAGGTACGGGCGGTGCTGGGAGTGGTGGTGAACGCGTTGAGTTGAGTCATATTTCGTGTTTCCAGTCTGTAGCAGTGGCAGCAGCAGCAATCACTGAATACGAGTGCTGAGGGGAGTGGTGGTGGACGTTTTGAGGGCTCTGCGCCACCATTTGCCCTCACATGCTGTCTCCAGTATCTGCCTTGCCAACATCTCTTTGCAATAAAGTAGTGGCTCCATAGGAGCCAAGGTCTCACGCTTACAGTTGCTGCTGTCAGAGGTGGCAATAGCAGCAGCAGCAGCAGCAGCAGCAGCAGCAATGAGAGGGTGCGGTTGTTGAGGGGAGTGGTGGTGGACGTGTTGAGGGCTCTTCGCCACCATCTGCCCTCACATGCCATCTCCAGCATCTGTCTCGCCAACGTGACAACGTCTTGTCGCAAGGAACTTGAGGCTCCGTAGAAGTCATTGTCTCGCGTTTCCAGTCACTGCTGTGGCATCTGCATTGGTGGCAATGAGCGGGTGAGGGTTCTGAGGGGGGTGGTGGTGGATGTGCTGAGAACTTCGCCCTCATACGCCGTCGCTTTGTGATGGTCAGGAGAGGAGACAAAAAATATTTTGTTCATATGTTCACATTTGATGTGTCTAGTGGTAATACGTAGTTTAGGGGTCGGGGTGCCTTGTGTAGAAAATATGATAACATTCACAACTGGATACACCATGCTGGTGTGTAGTAACAGCATGCTGGAACAATGTCAAGCATCAAGTAAACTTCCGGGCAAGGTAACTTGCTGTCTCAGAACGGCCAGCTGCCAATTCGAGCATACCAGTACTCTCATTATTTCTGGTGGAACTACCGTAGATCCCCAAGACCACCAGTCGTTCCCAACTTCCCAGTGCTTTCTACATACCCCCCAAAATCACCCACCATCATGTTTCCATGGAAAAATCAAGGTTCTTGTGTACCATAGCAGAGTGATACCGTACATGGAAATCCGATCACCAGTTGTGCCACAGGTGGGCATCAGCTCCCTCATCAAACCCACTTGACGACGCCAGTGCCTGCAACTCGAGCCTCTTGCTGTACTTGGCTCGCCGTCTCTCGTCGTACTCCTCCCACCCCTCAATCTGCCGGGTGCAAATGGAGTGGATGGAAGTGGGAAAATGGCAAAAGTTTGGGAAAGTGTAAGGCATCAGCGCCTGCATCCAACCCACTTGACGACGCCAGTGCCTGCAACTCGAGCCTCTTGCTGTACTTGGCTCGCCGTCTCTCGTCGTACTCCTCCCACCCCTCTGTCAAGAGCACATGGAGTGGTGGAAGACGAAAAGAGGCACAAGTGTCACGTAAGGAATATACTTTTGAGGAGCCTCAAAGCTCATCTCTTGTCATACTCCTCCCCACCCTCAATCTGCCAAGCGCGATGTTGTGGGTCAAGTCAGTGGGTTGCGTCAAACGCATACAGAAGGTAATATCCGTTTGAGCCTTATTAGGGAGAGTGAAAACATCTCTGTGCACCCTCTGAATCGATTCAAAAGCTCTTGTACCTCGCGCAGTTGGTCAATGGTGATTTGGTTGCCATGCAGGGAGAGAGTGAAGAGCTCCGTGCACCCTGTTAGCACCTCCGAGGGGAAGTTCTTGATCGCATTGTTGCTCAGCAGCAAGATCTGCACGGCAGAAAACGACACACATGAAAAATACAATCAATTTGCTAACAAAATTAAAATTCTCTGACGTCATCCCCAACCCACTTTCTCCCTTTCCCTCATCACACCCCACCTTCTCACTTCCCCTCCCCCCACACTCCTCCTTCTCCCCCCACCACTCCTCCAACCCAACTTCGTCAAACTCTCACCTTCAGATTGGTGAGTCTACCCAGAGCAGCTGGCACGTGGCAGATGAAGTTTGCTGAGAAATTGGCCTGCAGGACAGGGTTGGTTGGTGTCATAAACCACAGTCAGGCTAAGATTATAATTCACACGTGACGCAACAGCAAAAGGCAGAAACAGGAAGTGGCTGAAAGGGTAATATTCTGGGCAAGGGATCAACAGCACCTCTGCAAGAGACGTGCATTCTGCCATGGAAGGTGGGATGATCCCCAACCTGCAAACAGAGACAGGAAAGGGATCGAATATTTCATTTCAAGAAGAGGCAAGCTGCAAAAATCACTGAGCAGCAAAAATCGGTACTAATAACAACTGGATAATAAAGACAAGTGGGGCAATTGGCATTGAAAAACAATTTGAAATAGCAACTCAAACAAAAAGCAATAAATTGACACCTGGGCTGGGCACCCATGTATATCGGAATGCCACCTGGCTGTCGTCGTCACCTGTTATGAGCAGCATCGATCCACTCGAGGTTCTTCAGCCGAGCGATCTCCGGGGGCAGGGAGGAGAGGGCGTTGTGACTTTTGAGTAAACTCAAAAGGCACTCAAATGTACGTTGACATGCTACCTGGCTATTGTCACCTGTTATGAGCAGCATCGATCCACTCCAGGTTCTTCAGCTGGCCAATCTCTGGCGGCAGCGAGGAGAGGGCGTTGTGGCTGAGCGCGAGTCTCTTCAGCGAGGAGAGCTGGCCGATGATGGACGGAATGAGCCCTATTCTGCAGCACCGAGCAAGGGATCCAAGGGGAAAGGGGATTGTTTCAGGCATGGCTAGAAGCTGGCCAATCTCTGGCGGCAGGGAGGAGAGGGCAGGGCATTGTGGCTGAGCGCGAGGCGTTTCAGTGAGGAGAGCTGGACGATGATGGACGGAATGAGCCCTATTCTGCGACACATAACCAGGAATATACTCAAGAGGAGATCGTTTAATAGGGGCTAGAGGGTTGTCGATGTTGCGCGGAACCACCCCAATGCTGCAACAGAGTCAGGGCATCGATCAAATCAAGGTGGCAGGGGCAGGAGGGTGGCAGAGGGCGGGTGGAGGGCGGGTGGAGGGGGTGCATGATTCAAATATGAGGGATTAGCACAGAGGCGCTGCAAGGGGTGACAGCTGGTAGTATATTATCAATCAAGTGCTGTGCACCTCTCGTCCCAACCAAACCTTGGTCAAACATGCCAGTAAACGAAACCCTAAAATTAGCCTGACGAACCCAGTTAGCCCGAAACCTGGAGAACACATACTGGTTGTGGTCGAGTGCGAGAGCCATGAGGTTCGGGAGCCGAGTCAGGGCTTCCCAAGCAATGGTGTTTTCCGTCAGCGAGTTGTGGCTCAGACGTAGCCTCTGCAAGCAACCAACCATCAGCATCAGGCCAGCATCCCCGTTTCAGTGAGGCATCGTTACCAAACGAAACAAATCCAATTAGCATCCGACAACGTGGAGATAGAATGGTTTGCTTGACAATACACCCATCCAACAAATATTTACACCATAAGCAACAAAGGAAAAGGAGTGAGAATAACATGTGAATAATTTATAATAGAAAAGCATACAGATATCTCACCTGGAGGTTGGTCAAAGCTGTTACAGCTGGTGGAAAGATCCGAAGGCTGTTGCCGCCTAGATCCAGAACACGTAGTGCAGGGCCCGCAACCCACACAGCTCCAGGAACAACCTGAACCCAGCAAGAGAAAGGAATTCATATTGGTTCAGTGAGGGTGTTTTCTAGAAGAAGAAAACGATTAAAAACCTTGAAACCAGAGAGAGAGGGGAAAGATAGGCTCAAGGAGCGTTTAAGTTAAAATGTGTCAAGGCTTCAACCAGAGGGGAGTAAGATTGGTTAACAAACAGCCTGAACCCAACGTGAGAGGAGTAAGATTGGCTTGAGGAGGATGCGTGATTGTATGCACGTGTGCGAGTGCCAGGGTGAGTGCGAATGCGCGTGCGAATGGGAGAGCAAATGCGCGTACGAAGGCGAGTGCAGATGCGAAGGCGAGAGCGAGTGCGACTGCGAGTGCAAATGCGGATGCGATTGCGTATGCGAGGGCGAGTGCGAATGCGAAGGCGAAGGCGAGTGCGAATGCGAACGCGGATGCTAATGCGATGAGCGAATGCGACTGTGGGAGTGTGAGGGCGTTTGTGCGCATACGCTCGCATGAGCGAGCGAACGCGTGCATGCGCACACGTCCTCACGACAGTGCGTGAGAGCGTGTGCGTGTGCATGAGCGCGTAAGTACGTGCGCGATTGCAGCTCTGACAGGGCGCGCGTGTGTGAGCGAGCGCGCGGGAGTATGCAACGGGTGCGCGAGCGCGTGCGTGCACGCGCGTGTTTGGGTAAGGTGAAACAATGCGTATACCCTCGTGTTGGGGGGTGCGGGGAGCGGGGAGAGATGGGGGGAGAAGGGGGAGGAAAGAGGGGGACGAAATGAGGGGGTAAGTACAAGGCTGCTAACCAGACCGCGCGCGTACCTGCAAGTTACTGTCTCTTAAAGACACGATCCCTGTCTGCACCCACATCCGTTGTCTGGCCTTCTCTTGCCCCAGTGCGACCGGCGATGGGGCTGCAACCGACCGTTGCAGACCTCTACCGTATCTGTGGCTTGCTGATTGTCCCAAAGTGTAATGGTTGCCACCAGCCTGGAAAAGCGGAACGCATTTTCACACAATACAACCACACGACGCATTCTTAAATCAAGATTCGCGGACGTACTGAATCGTAGCGACGTAAGTAACGAGGTACGATAACGATAGCGAGGCATGTGGATAGGTATGATACCGAGGTAAGTCACTCACCCCTTGATGCACTCCAGCCGTTGCCATGAGCATAATCTTCGCATTGTTGGTGATTTTTGCCTCTTCAAAGGACATGTCAGGGGTCAAAATCTTCCCTGTAAATATCGCAACAGAATTAGTTAGGCGTCAGCGCATTCATAAACCTCGCAATAACCAATCTGACCGCGAAAGACGCACCTTTGTAAATAAGCTTCTGACCCCTGGAATGCACATTTGTTAGCCCTTCCAATGTCTCCATTAACTCTTTGACAATGCATCCTGGCGACATCATCAGTTGATGCGTCTGCTGACCATGTTTCACAACCAATCTTAACTTCTCCTCCGCGGCATCTACCGCGGCAGGCTCGGGTTCTGGATCACCTCCAGCCATTATCGACCTCCCAAGCCTGTCATGCACTCGGAAAACCGCCAAAATATATTCCCCCGCGAAAAAAAATAACCTACGTCCTTACACTTCAAACGCCACTGAAACCAAGTATTATAACGGCTCTCGATACGTCACGCTGTAACGCTAACAGAAAGCGTCCATCATAAGCTAGCGAAGTCCCTGAAGTCACGGAGAGATGCAACTACTTCGCGTTTCCGGCATACCACTGACGAAGCAAGCAGTTAGGTTGGTGAAGCTTGCCTCAAAGAACGGACTGCTGGGAAAGAGGCCCTTGGGAACATCGATGGGGAGGGGAGGCTCGAGGGCGTTGTTCGGCGAAACCCTGGAGTGACGGGGCTAGTGTGGTTGTGGGGAAGGGTCACGACGAGAGCTTGCTTACAGTTCATGTACGGATGTTCAGACTGGTAAAAAACGGTTTAAAGTGGTGGAGCTGGAATAGGCACCGCAAAGTTCACAACCACTAGAACTGAATAGGAGATGAACTCCGTGACCCGCTGTGGGCCTCAGGCTTCATGTTTGGACTGACGCGTTTGCCATCAAAATCAAATCATTACACAATGACAAAAAGTCAGCAAAATGGTTTGAACATTGAGTGAGATGCACCTTCAAAATAATTAATTTGGTTAGACATCATGTCATAACAGTCTCCTTTTCAGCAAATCTGCTCTAGGGAATTCAAGCTGTGACATGCTTTTTCTCGTTTTACGCGTCGCGTGTACCATGGACATCAGAAGATAATTTGAAACTGACCCACTGGGAACACCTAAACAAATAATGGACAGCATGCATGGACATGACACACTTGACCAGGTACTCCACTTTCCTAGCATACTGGACCCCATGCATCGACATGACAGACTCCAGTACCCAACAGTGGCCCTACGTGTTGAGGCCGACCTAACACCTAAGCTTTCTGACAGTGAAGCACTGACGACGACTAGACCAAAACAGCATACTGTCATACTGCAAAGCACATGACATCTCGACTTGACATCTTGACAAACCTAAGTGTAAGCTGTCAAGACAAACACCAAGACCTGAAGTTTTTCCAGACCTGCACGACTGTGATGCCTGCATGACCGTGATGTCAGAACGAGGCCCCAAACCCTTCCACCCTATCAACTCGAAGCGGCTGTGATGGCTGCAATCCTGCTCTGCGCCCATTCTGCTGTTTCCTTGATGGATTCGTCTGAGTTCAAGCACTCCTCGATGAACTCCCGGTGGAAGCGGTGGGTGGCAAACAGCTGAGCAGCAGCGACTCCAAGAGTGTCAGCCAAGTCTCCCAAAACACCAACCGCAGCCTTGGTCACAATCTCATCCCTGCATTGTCAAAAGCCCAGGTAAGGACAGAAGATTCTTCAATCAGACAGAAGCAAGGCATAAAATTGGACATTCACACATACACCATTCGTAACAGACCTTACGCGTAATCTTTAGTGATACTGGACATTCACACATTCTCCCCACCCTCAACCCCATCCCCTCCCATCCCCCCTAAAAGTAAGCTCATCCAATTACAGGCAACAGCTCCCTTACATGAACTTGACACTTGGGCAAACCGACAGGCTTGGCATCCAGTTCAGGAGGTTAACCCACACACAAGCATCATACCGGCCTGATACATCCAGAGACTAGGTTGTTGTTTTGAACATCTGTACCCCAAGCCATCACTCATGCACCCCTCAAACGTCAAAATCCCAATCAATATACTTCCAGTTTCACCAGGACATAACTATTTTTTTCTTCCTTTCCGAGTGTCTCGTTATCAACCATCCCAGCCATCAAACGTCAACCCAACCCCCCATCCCCAGGAGACGCACCTCTGATTGTCTAAGTACACATTCTCGATGAAAACCGCCACAAGCCATCCACTGTGTGCCATTTTCAATCACCCCATCCATCACATATTACCCTCCGGCCCCCCAGGTGACGCACCCTTTGTTTGTTCCAGCATACAAATCCTCGATGGACACTACTTCGATCCATCCACCGTGTGTCATTTCCAACCACCCCATCTATCACACATTACTCCCTACCCACCCTCCCCCATCCCTCACCCCTTCTCCCCAGACGACGCACCTTTGCTTGTCCAAGTACACGTTCTCGATGAACAGCAGGATGTGCTCCGCGTACGGCGCCATGAGCTCCGGCTTCGTCGCCTTGAACCCCTGGAATATCCCCGAGTACGCCTCAAAGATCCCCGCGCGCAGCTGGTTGTTATACTCCACCACCTCATCCCACACATCATTCATCCCCTGTTGCGCCGACAGCTCCGCCGCGCTCTGCAGCATCGGCATCGCGTAAGCAAGATACTTCGCAAAGTGTTCGCCGATCGCCAGCGCAATGTCACCGAAGCAGGAAAAGATCGGCGGCTTCACGCTGCGGTGGAGCTGGTCCGAGGAGAGGTCTTTGAGCAGCTGAGTCATGATTCCGTCGCAATAGGGTAACACGGCTTCGTCCAGCGCTCTGCAGATGTCGCCCACCACGCCTACGGTTACCGCGCACACCTGGTACTCCTCAAAGTTCTGCAGACCCATCTCCAGGTAGCGGTAGAACTCGGGCATGTACTTGCCAAAGTCGGGGCCTGCAGCA